GAAGCACTGTCTGACGCCTCTGCCTCCGCGACCCGAAAGGAGAAGCGGCGATGGAAGATGAAGATGAAGAAAAGAAAAACAAACACTTTATGGATAGCCATTGCGGCAAGACCTTAAAAATCAGACTTCTTAAAGGAGGCTTTATTTGGTTTTCACGGGCATTACACTATAATGTTGCTGCAAAAGACCAGGCACAAGAGGAGCTAACGGTCGGTAATGAAAGAGGTTTAAAAGATTAATATGAAAATGGCATAAACATTTTACACCACAAAATGCAAATTAAATAAATAGCAATAACTCCAAGTCATTAGCCTTTATCGATTCACTGTTTGATGAAATCCTCTCTAAAACATTACTGCAAACCTGTCTTCCGTTTTTTGTATTCATGCTGATTTAGTGAACATCTTCAGCTAATCCTGCTATCGATCTGGCAATCTTTTCACTGGCTGTCTACTCTCCTTCAGAATCCAGTTAATATTTCTTTGGTCTAACGATGGATGTCGGTCGGTTCTTCTTGCAACACGTCCAGTCCATTTCCATTTCAACGTTTTTAGTCAAGCAATGACAGAGCACAGTCTTGTTCATGCTCCTAACCATTCATTCGTCATGCTACCTTTTCCTTTTATTCCAGTCATACATCTTTCGATGCTACGCTGAATAGCTTTCATACTTATAGTCGACTTTTCAGACCCACAGGTTAGCACCGGCAGCACACATTGATTAAATAGCTTTCGTTTGAAGCAAAGGTGCAGTTTTCTGGAGAGGAACATTTTCAGTCTTACAGAAGTGCTTAATGTCATTCTTAATCCTTTGTTGATTTCACACAGTCGGTTCTCGTTGCAGATATGACGTGAACAAGACAGACGTAGTTTAGCACTTCTTCAAGCCTAAGACCATCGACTTCATCTGGTCTGTTTGTCACGTATTTGTTGAACATCACCTGAATCTTCTTTATGTTCATCTTCAGTCTCAATTTCACGATGCCGTCGTTCAGCTCCTGGATTCTTCTTCGAGGTCCTTCTTGCTACACTGAGAGGATGAGAATATTGTCTGAAAACCGCAGGCGGCTTAATTAGTGCCAGCTTAATTACTCAGCTCCTGATTCTTTTTCAACGGAATGCCTCGAAAATCTCTTCTAAGGATGCTGTGCTGTGAATAACTTAGATGATATTGCGTCACTGTCGAACACCCTTTTCCATTTTAAACTTGTTTGTGCCTCTTTCATGCAAGCAGCTGCATTCTTGTAACCATATTCAAATATCTTTTTTCGATTCCCTGGCTCCGTAATGGATCGAGTACAGAATGGATGTATCTTCTGTACATCTGTTATTTACTTGTTAGAACGTTTCAGAGAATATTCTATTACATACTAACTTTTGATTTCATATAGCTGCTGTCAGTAAAAAATATTCTTTCCTATTCACTGTCTTTACGCGATTTTAGAATGGGTGCTGAACTTTAAATTACTGTCAGAGCATTGCAGATTTTTTCAGAAGGGTTCGTGCTTATCACTCAACTTCTTAACAGTTTTCTTAACAGTTAGTCATTTCTTCATCGCTTTCAAGCTTACTTTTACTTTATTATGAATTATGCAAATTAAAACATACACAAAGTAGAAACGTGTATTTGAAAGCGATGCTGAACAGAAGACTTCAAGACAAAAGACCACTTGTTAAAGTGGTAAAATATGATTAAAAGTCTTTATTTTTTCAGCTTAACTCAAAAAGCATTTGCATAGTCAATAATTTTATAATCCATTCAATCCTGTAGTTAGTTTCTAACGACGAAACAGAATTATAATGTACAGTTGACAATGTTTAAAACACTTGTCACGTCGCAGCTAACGTGTTAAAGTGATTTAAATGAATGACGTGACAGAGCGAAGCGCACATACCCTAGTTCTAATGAGGACGTCGTCGGTAGCATAGGTGACGAAGATTCTTCAAAACGTTTCACTTGACCACCATCGTCCACTGCTTTATTCAAATGACGGAAGTCATCTGCGGCCACCTTCGCTGCGTTTGTGGCAACACCAATGGCCTCTGTACTAGTGACCTGAGGACGGTTCTCTTCATGTGTAATGCTGCTAGTCGTCGCCGTCACCGACGACGACTGTACACCGGATACAGGCAACGTGGTCGACGTAAAGCGGGACAAGCTGTCCAGACCGTAGCGCCGCGAATACCACGCATGATGCCTCCAGTAGGGTTCGTAGGTTCGAGGCGTTGGTGAAGTGATAATGGCGGTGGACGTTGTTGACGAGGAACCGGTGGTCGACGACGATGAGATGGGTGAAGATTGCGAACAAGGAGAAGTGTCGGTTAACAAACACGAGGGACGTGTCGGGGGGTTCGGCTGCTGGCGGCAAAATGCCAGTTGCTCGAGGGAACAAGAAGGTGTCATGAACGGTCGTCGTGTAGAGGACAGTTCCAATGATGACGACGAAGAACTGCTTTCTGGAGGGAATCGGTCGCAAGAGACGGCGTTCTTATTCGACAGCAGGCCTACGCCAACGGAGCCATCGCGATCGGTCACAGGCGAGGTCAGGAACGAACGACGAACGACACATGGCGACTGCCTAATGGCGAAGAACGACGAGGAAGAGGTATCAACGGATGCAGCGGAAGGAGAACCGTTACTGTCGTCGTAGCCATCGTTCAACGCCTTCGCTTCACGATCAGCAACATACGACTTTGGCGACGAAACCATAAACCTATCTTCGCGATCAGTCGCATTCTGGCTGTTAGCACTTTCGATCTGAGACACTACCTTGTTGAACTCTTTCGTCAACTCGGCGATCGACGCATCGTTGCTGAAATTATTTCCCTCTGACAATGAACTGGCCGTCGCTTCGTAACCTTCTTGACGAAGAAGCCCTTCGGACGCAGAAGACGCCGGAGTCGGCGTTTCACTATAAATCTGATTCAACTTTTCAACGGCTGAAAATATGTGACTCGACGGAGGCGACATAACGTTGTGATGAGAAGCAGTCGTAGACCGAAGCTTGGTGGCCATGTCTAAGTAACACATGTCATCGGAAGCGTCGTCTGTCAGCGAGCTGTTTCTAGGTTTCGGAGGTGGCATCGGAGGAGAAGCGAAACTGGCCACGTTCTGAACGGATGATGGCGGAGGCGTTTTCGGAGTCAGGTACGCGACGGTTCTTACGGGAAAGTTAGAGGTCTTCTTACCGTCTGCAGCCCCATCAACTGCAGATGAAGAAGCGGCGAGCCCGGACCTAATCGGAAATGCCTGTACCGTCTTCGAAACTTTTGAATGTGCGATGTTCGAAAGTTCGTCGTCGAATGTCCCTTTTGCACCGCTGCTTCGGTCTGTGCGATTCTGACGCTCAAGTTTCTCGAAAAGCGCCTTGGCCGACCTGAAATTGCACGTTGCGTCGTCCGACATCTCTACTCCTTTTTCTTTGTACAGCTGACCACTGGTCACTCCAGAACGATTATTAGTTGAGTGATTTTTATCACAGTCGGCGGCTTCGTCAAAATACGTTGGTGACAGCGATGCAGACATGTTAGACTTCTTGTCGTCTACCGCCAAGCCACCGCCGCCGCTCAGAATGTAGTCGGTGCACAGCAGGTCTGGCAGAGGGTTTTCCTGCATATAGTGGCTGCTCTTGACGCCGATCATGGCACGTCTGAAAAGGAAAGCAAAGAATTAGTTAAAACATAAACGATCCGAATGTCGATCGCAATACAATTAAAAATTTGCCAAATGAAGACAGAAGAGGGCTATAATTTTCGAAGTAACTTCGCTAAAAGTTGGTAACTAATAGACTGCACTCGCACTGCTCGTCAGTATTCCGGTCAACGAACAAACTACGACGAAGAACCGAAAAATGACGGGCCAACAATATACGTTTAAAGAGGTATTCATAAATTTTCAAGGCCCACTGTTCATTTTCAATCGGGAGGGGGCGAG